GGCACAGAGGACTCCCTGGGGCATGCAGAAAGGAAGATTTAAACCCAGAGTACACCAAAAAATCACCAGGAAAACTTCAGGACAGGGGAAAGCTACAGAGAAGTCTTGGTGGTATGCTGTAAGACACAGGTGGAGCCCAGGGGCCTGCAGAAAGGCTCCTGGAAGGCTTGAGGTGCATCCAAGCACAAACAAAAAGCCTCAGTGCCTACCCAAGGGGCTGTGATGCCTGCTGTGGGGCTTCATATGGCAAGCAGGCTATCATCTGCAAGCACCCCTGGCTCCACGCAAACCCAGCTCCCAGCACCACTCATGATGGCCTGGCCCTCGACCCTGGCCAAATACACCCCGGTTATCTTGGTAAGCTGAGAGCTAACCCAGGAGCAGCTTGGGGACCCCAAGCATCCATGGCAATGAAAGGGAAACCCCCTGCAGCCCTGTGAGTAGCACTGGGCTTCCCCAGGGAACAGAGAGAGGGACAGAGATTGACAGAGGTGGAGAAAAAAATAGCGATGGGCAGCGGGACAGAGAGGTGGAGAAAGCTGGAGGAATAGAGATGGCGAGAAGGACATGGTGGGCCATGGTGGGGACCATCCTCCGGTCCCACAGCAAAGTGGGAATGCAGAAATATCCTGGTGCCACTAGGCCATGTCATGGAGGGCCATGGGGCCCTGATGCACCACAGATCCAGCCCAGCAATGGGAAAGGTGCATGAATGGGCCACTTTGGGTTATGGACTCATCCTAGAGCCCACTCCTGGAGCAGGAGAAACACTGGGCCCAGGGTCAGCCAAGCAGGTGTCCCAGTTTTCCCAGGGTGAAGCAATAGTTGTGCAGGCCTGCAGTGAACTCACCCACAGTGGCTGGCAGTGGTCAACTGCCTTGGGCTTTCTGTAGGGAGAGAATGAATAAATCTTGTTTGTGCTCATGCAGCCTCTGGGAAGAAGCCAGATATTGCTGGTGTTTCCTGATGGGTGTGGCATAGCCCAGCACAGAAGCTGAGAGTTTTCCTATGTTGACCTGAGAAACATTCTCCTTCTTTTACCAGTTACCACCCAAGAGTTTAAGGCAGATCTACTGTGACATCCAAACAATGCCAAGGTCTGTGAATAATTTAAACAGTACACTAGAGACGTTGCTTCTACCTCTTCTCTGCTAAAAGCCACTGGTCTCATGAGACCCAGGGTAGTGATGCTGTCTCTTGTTGTAATGAGCCAAACAGAACAAAGTGTAGGCACAGCATGTAATTATTTTTACGGCTTGAACACTATTTTTTTTTGCTAAAGTCCTTAATTTTGTAGCATCATGACACTGAGCTGCAGGGCCCCTCACCCTCTGATGCCATGGTGCTGCTCTTATGGACCAGCTCCCTTGCATGGCTGGTGATGGGGGCCAGGATGATGCACACTGCCACACGACTGGCAGCTCTTAGGGGACTTCTAGCCCTGACTGGGCACCACTCAACCCCCTGTGATCACCTAAAGAGCCCCAGCCCTGTCTCCTTTCCTTTGTACTAAACCCAGGCTTGAGAAAGGATTGTTTCCCTCACATCCACCTCTGCAAAAGTAGAGACTGGGAAGCAATGTGACTTGAGCTCTTCTCTGGCCTAGTGTCCCAGCAGGGGACTAGGTGGCCGTCCCAGAATTTACACTTTAGAAAATAATACTGGGGGAGGGGGAGTGGCTTAAAAATTTAAAGCATAAAACCACTCCACTTTTCTTTTACTGAGTTTTCTCAGGAATTTCATCTTATGCAAATTTTCTCAGCCTGAGAAAGAAGGTGAAAGAAGTACAAAAAGAAACATATCATACCCGCTATGGCTGGGAACAGCTGATAAGCAAAAAAGAAGAAAATTAGTGAACATTCAAATGTAGTTTAATTATTGTTTGTTTGTTTGTTGGTTGGGGTTTTTTTTGAAAATGAAAGTCAAGGTAACAACCTTGCACAAGATACTCCTAAACTGGCTTTTTTTGCCTCCTAAAAAGCAGGGGTCCCTGGAGTTGAAAAGGCTGAAGTGCTGTGGCTAGAGGCCATCAGCTCTGTCTTAAGTGCTGTTGTTTATTTACTTTGGCTTTTCCTATGTATAAATTAGATTGAGAAATTATCATCACACAGTAATCCTAATGTGTGAGTTTCTGGTTTCTTGGGGAGAAAAGGAGAAGGGATAGTTAATATTCAGAAAGCCTCAATGACTTTAACATGTTCCAGTTTTGACATGCTGAATTTGAAGGGGAGACTGGAGAACCCAATTTTCCCAGTTTGTGTGCAGCCTGGCCTTTGAGTCATGACACCCTGAAGTACCTCACAGTTGGTATTTAAGATACCAGCTGCCCCAAGATTGTCACTTCAACAAAGCCATGTCACTGTCCTAGCTCAACCAGGGACCTGCTTGTCAGACACATGAAAAAAATATGCTGAGAGGCAAGAAGTTTCAAACTGCAGAAGTGTCTAGGGCAGCTTTAAAACATTAACTGACACCATCAGACCTAAAATCCATTAAAATGGCCTTTAGCTCATGCATAGGAAAAAGCTTTCACACTCTATTTAGGAGTCATAATTACAGCATTGTACTCAACATAGAAACCAAATTAATTCTAGAGCAAGCTGTGTTGGTTCTGTTTGTCACTAGCATATGGTCACATTGCTGGAAAAGCAGAATGCCACTGACCTGAAGAAGCAGCAATTCCAGCTTCCTAAGTTTCAAGAGAAAACCAATCTCTTCTTGAAACTGATGAGAATTGTTTTGAAAATTTATTCAAAGAAAGGAGCCGTATGAACAGAGGAAACTGCAAACTAACACTGCATTAAAAAAAAAAAAAAATTACAGCATGAAAAAAAGTACTACTTAAGTACCAGGATGAGAGAAGTATTACTTAAGTATCAAACATCTGCATTGTCATGGTGACTTTTTTGGCTTTTGTCTCTTGTCTGTCTTGATAAAATCAGGGGATAAGAAAGTGCTACTAAATTCCACTTAAGTGTGGAGCAGATACTATGTCCAAGGCCTCACAGGTATTTGTGGGAACCCAAACAGCCCCATCCTCTCAAGACACACAATCACATGACACTCAAATCAATTCACTTTCTGCTAGAAGAAAGCCTAGTAACCCTCACTCCCTGCTCCTGATCTTGTGCAAAGACGGAAACGAAAGACTCGGTACAAGGCATAAATGCAGCTAACCGGTATATAATAGTACAGACCTTTGGCTCCTTACCAACAAAAATGTTTATAATGAAAATGGAATTTTAGTGATATAACAGCTTCTCTGCAGTACTTGTAGGGACACCACGTTGCTTAAAGCATTAAGTATCAAAAAAAAGTATACAATAAAAAAAAATACTAACTTACAGTAACATGTTGAAAGGACATTGTTTTTTTCAACTTCCCCTACAATGATTTGAAATCAAACCAATAACAAATCCCTCTCCCTGCTTGCAGTGAAGAATATGGAGGTGCTTTAAATGCAGAGTATTAACACAGACAGGTGTAAAGGAATCCAACATTTGGAAAAAGCACACAGGGCTGTCAAAGCAGCCCAAGTTAAGTTTGCTTAAATAAGCTTCTCTAGCTAGCAGCCTTGGGATGGAGATGGAGCACATGGTCAGCAAGCTTGAAGACCCTACCAGTCTGAGCAAGCAGAGGCTACAGTACAGAGTGAAGCCTCATTTCAGAGGCTGGAGAAATTAGTTGGACAGGAAGGTCTATGGTTCTGTGGTTCTTCAATGCAGTTAGACCCAGGCAAATCCAGTATTTTGCCCCTGGAATGGAATAACCCCATGCACTGGCACAGGCCAGCCAACTGGCTACCTTGCTCACTGGGGAACAGCTTTGCAAAAATGGACTGGGGCAACGAGTCCAAGAGAGTGCAGCCAACTGCACATTAGGCTTTATTCATGTGACTGTAAGCAGCAGGTGGAGGGAAGTGACCATTCATTTCAGCCAGCTGCTTCCTCAATTATATTTTTCTGGGGCCAAAGGCATTGGAGGAGGATGTAGCAGGCACAGGCTCCAAGCATGGCTTGCTTGTTGGCAAAAACGTTGCCCATGCCCCTGGGGACAGAAGACCCAAACCAGGTTACAGGACACTGCTGTGCAAGCTCCCCTCCACTTGGTACACACACTGGGACAGACCATGAGAATGACATGTAGTCAAGTTCCACTTGCCACACCATTAGCAATTTATTAACCTGTCAGTCAATGTGATTTCCAACTCTGACAACAAAATGTGAGCGCTAACTGCACCACAGCCTGAGCAGAAGGACCTGCTGCGCTGCAGGAGGGCTGGAGCCCAGGGACCCAAGCTGTGCCCTGACGCTCACCACCTCAGTGCTTTCTGCTTCAGTTTCCCTGTTTTCAAAGTGGAAATGATGCTGATGACTTCATCTGTGAGGCTCTGGGAAGCCAGGTGTCACCACCTGGGGGAAAGAACCGTAAGAAAACTGAATTAAGCACTCCCCTTTCCCATCTGTTTGAGGAAGGACAGGTGCCCTTCCCTCCCAGCACAGGATCCAGAGCAGAAAGCACTTCAAAGGCAGTCTTCTGCACCCACAGCAGCATGGCCAGCTCAGCAGGGATTGTGCAGTGCACCCCATCATGATGCTGGGCACAGGGGAAGCCGCAAATCCCACACGCTTGCTGCAGACAACCATCCTGGACAGCAAGAGGGGAAGATAGAGGCAACCTTGCTCTACACAGGATGAGAGAGTCTGTCTAGATGTGTAATACAGCTTAGCAGCTTTCTCTTCTCAGATCACCATACTGGTCTGAAAAGGCACTTCTCTTCCTAGGAGGGAGGCTACACCTGGGAAAAACCTTCAAAAGTGGATTTCTAGAAGAGGTCCAACAGAAAGCGCTCTGTAGCACCGCAGCAGCACTCCGCCCTGGCAGAGCAGCAGTCCATGTGTTAAAATCAGCACTAAGATATCCTGTGCAGCACTGTGGCCCCACACAGCACCCAGTATCTAGGACAAGTCAGAGGCCACAGCATCTGCAATAGCCTGGGTTCAGGCAGATAAGATCTCCTGCATGGTCTTCCCCACCACAGCTGCAGATGTGGATTGCAGTTGCCCAGCAAGAGGGCTGCTGGGATGCAGCCGGCAGAAGCGCCCCAGCGTCCAGATGGGGAAGACATTGCGGTACGCAGTGTAACTGATGGCACACGACTTGTTGAATACCCCAGCAATGTTCTCCTGAGAGAGAGAGAGAGACAGAGACCAACATGATATGGGTGACAGGGGACTACAGCGTGTCCCAAATGCAGTGCTGAGCTCACTGCCTTCTTGAAGCCCCCCACCAAAATCCACACGTTGCTTCGCTTCCAATTAAGGGAAAGCACACCATTGCAATGGCTTCACAATGCCCAGGACATCTGCAACACCAGGGAACCCCTTGCAAAGACCAGAGAGAAGATGTACCTGAGGCCAGTCCCCATTGGGCAGCTGCTTATCAATCAACAATTTGATGCCCCTTTCCAGCACGTCAATGTCAGGGTACCTGCAAAGCACAGGGGAGATGAGAGTACTCTTATCCAAGCCATCTGCAAATTCCCATCCACGTGCTTAAGGAACTCAACTACTTCCAGGCTGCCCCAAGCTTGTCCCAGCTATGAGTGCTTTGAGAAGGCCCCTCACAGCCCTAGGACACCAGACATTATGAATATAGCAACATTTCCCTAGGCTGCAGCCCTGTGGTTGTGATCCAGACCTTTGCTTTGCACTAGCTCCCCCTCATCCAGCATTATGAGCCTTGCTGGCCTGTGGAACACTGCACAGGTCAGTCCCTCACTGCAGGAGGCTTGCAAGCCAGTGAGGTTATGAACAAACACATTTTGGTGCATGACCCGCACCACCAGGCCCAGGGCCTGTATCAGCCCTGTCACACAGCTCAGCCTGCATTTCCCATCTCACTGAGCACTCAGGGCCAGGTGATGCCTGAAGACATGAGGGCTGCTCCTACCTGACAGCCATGAGCCCCAGCAGGGCCCAACACGTGTTGTGGATCTGTGACACAGCACTCTGCACGTACGTGCGCTGCTCGCATGACTCAAAGTCCTCTCCCCACCCGCCGTCTGCCATCTGCTTGGAGACAAGGAACTGGCAGGCCTGGGCCACCTCTTGGCATGCAGACCTGCAAGGATAGGGCAGAAAATCAAACAGGGCTGGGGACAGGGGGCATTGGCATGCCTGTGTTTCACAGTTGCAGACAGGAGCTGTGCTTCACCCTGCCCACAGCCAGGACCACCCCAAGCGTTTAAGGCTCAGGCAGTGAGTGCCCCAGTCATACTGAAGGCACAGAATCTAGGAGGAGCAGCACCTGGGGCAAGAGACCCCATGTGCAACCAGGGCATCCATGCAGCCTCACCATGGAACTTTGCCCTGGCCCAAAAGGTATGTAGGGGAACCAAACAGCCCCTTCTCACCCACTGCGGTATGTGTGCTGCATACTGGCGAACGCCTCCAGACCAAACCAGGTGCCATAAGTGAAACAAACCCCCCAGCTCCTAGGAGGAAGGAGAGAGCAGTACAGTCAGGGGTGCAAGGCCCCAAGTAGAGTTCACAACAAGAGCAGAGCCAGGCATAGAGCTGCAGCCTTCCTTCCACTATGGCACAACCAAGCCTGGACCCACCATCACCTGCTCCCAGCTCACTTCAGCGTCAGCAGACACTGAGACCAGAGAAGCTGGAGCCACTCTAGTCCCCAAGGGTGGTCTAGGTCTTGTGCAATGCACGAGGTGCCTGCTCTTGCCCGGTCTGGAAGGAGAGGAAAGGAGAGCAAAACACAGGAGCTAGAGCAGGATCAGCCCCTACTTGTCCTTCTTGCCAGCCCAGAACGTTTGCTATCATATTCTCTCTCGCACTTGGGCAGTCAGGGGAAAACTGGGCACCAGGAACATTGCTTACCCCTCCCATGACCCATCAGCTTGCTGCTTCTTGCGACAGAAGTCCAGGCCCTTCTGAAGAGTTTCCCTGGTCAGGAGAAAGATGTCTGCTTCAGAAGCAGCTGAAACTCAGTAGCTGCTTCATCAGGAGCATCCACCAGTTCCTCTGATGCACTGATGGATATCATTATTAGACGGCTGCAGAGGCAAGAGCATGCCAACAGGCAGCCATGTCGATCAGGATCTCAGAGTCAAATCGCGCAGCAACTGGGTGCTTTTCTGCCTCGTACCAGCATGCAAGGAGGGCATCTAGCCTGCAACTGGCTGCAAGATCAAGGCAACTGCTAAGTCAAGGGGCAGGCAGGTCTCCACAAATTTCCCCCAACCTGGACCCAAATAACCTATGCCCTGCTCCTTGAGAGAGGTTGGGACCCAGCTTCTTGCAGGAGGCTCTGGTTTGCAGAAGTTGCCAACATCCCACACCACGGGCCACCACAGGGGCTGCTCCATGCCAATGCAGAGGTCCAGGCAAGACCCCTGACAAGGTTCACCAGGGGCTGTGCCAACAGAGGCCATGCCGGGCAACATGGGACATTGCAGCCTGTCTTCTCCCCTACCTGCTTCTCATCTCAGTGCCTCACCTGATCTCTGCGGCTCTGTGCTCAGGAAACTCATTGTGGAAGTGTCTCAGTGCCTGCATGACAGCCGACGTGCACTCCACATAGGTGTAGTCTATCATGATGTCTCCTGCCAGCAGGTGAAGGTTATCAGTCCAACAGCCCCTCTGCTGGGGAGCCTCAGAGCCACAAGGTGACAACCTCTTCCTTGGACCCAGGGCACACTTATCCCACACACGGACCTGGGACAAAGCCAACCACCCACTGGGCGTGGCAAGGCCAGTCCACTGTGTCCCTTCACAGTGGACAGGATGGTCAGCCCCACATAGCTCCCCTTACCAAACACCTCTGAGGGGTTAAGCAGCTCCAGCAAGTGGCCACCTCGCCTAG